TGGTCCATGCCCCTGGCTGGACACAGCAGGAGGTCCCAAAGTCCTCCTTTGGCATGGAGGGGGTCTGTGGTCTACCCTCTGCCTCCCGGGGGAGAAGGGCCTGGCAGTAGGAGTCTATCTCCTGCTCGCAGTCCCTGATGGCACGCAGTCTCTGGACTGTGGCCTGGAGCTCCTCCAGCTGGCGCGCCAGAGACCCCAAAAGGGAGCAGACCCCACAAGGGGAGGTCACCATGCTCCCAGGCCCCAGAGCCTGAAAAAGGGACAGGCAGCCCCTGCAGCCGAGAGCCAGGGGCTCCGTCTGCGTGGAGCCTGGAACCAGGGGCTCCGTCTGGGTGGCCGTCTCTGAGGTGCCAGGGGGGGGAGGATAAGGACTTCCCTGTGAAAGCTACTTCAAAATGGAGAAATGGTCCTTGCCATTAATGGCTCACTCTAAACAGACAAAACAGATGAAGGGTAGGAAGGTAAAGAGAAGCACAGAATGGGGGACTTGCTTAAGGACATGTGGCCAATCTGTGGCACAGCCAGGAATAGAACCCAAGTCTCCTGGGTCCAAGTCCAGTGCTCTGTTTCCTAGATGCCCAGAAGGAAATATTTTAAAGGTACATGCATCTTTAAAATTGGCTTTTTTCCTCCAATAATTCTTAGTTTTGCTCTGTTTGTGATTTACTGGGACATCCCAAAAGACTAAATTCTAACAAAAATATTTTATATAATATAATGCCTTAATGGTATACTGGGGAAAATAAAGCAGTGTTTATAGTTTTATTATGGTGCAATCCCCCCACTCCCATCTGGACTGTTTTCTGCAGTGTTTCATTTTAGATATTTGCATATTCAAACACATGATGGTTCATACATGCACAACAGATATTTGCACTCACAAGCTAGGTGTATGCAGATGGAGATCTGGAAAGGGTCTCCTGGATCATTAGGTCCAACACCCTCCTACCATGCCATATATTCCGTTTCAGTCAAGTTCCATCTTAAATCCAGTTAGTTTTTAATTCTTAGAGCAGTGAAATTTTGGACTAGCCTCCAAACTGGAGTAGTGTGGAAAGAAACCTCTCTCAAATTGCCATAGTCCTTCAGCTTAAATAGCTCTCCTCCTCCCCCAGTGTTTTCCCCCCTTCTTCTCTTCTGTATGTATTTATAGATGCAGTATGCACCCAACTTTGTAACTCTGTACTGAAAACTATATTATAATTAAACACCATGTGAGTGTTTAACTATACTACTTAAACTAATGAGTGGTATGTGGTTGGTCCCTAGTTGTTTTGAAGGATTATGGGATGGTACCATACATCAAGATATTTTTGGATGTTGAGTGCTACCGAAGTGATACCCTCAGCATTTTGGAGCAGCTGTCAGTCATCAACACTGAAGAATACATGAGCATAATTATTGGGGCCCTGTGCTCTTCCACACAAGGGGAACTGAACCTGAAACTGGATCTGCTTAAGGTGATTAACATTACTTCCTGTTTGGCATAACCTATTCTCTAAAGTGGTAGTATTGTTTTTTCTTACTTAGAAAAGTGAAGTCAAATGGAGCGGCAGAGCTAAGGTTGTTTCAGTATTGGTCACTGCATATTTTAATCTTTAATTGCCAGAATGTCAGCAGCAACTCCATGATGTTTTGCAGAATTTAGAGGGATGTCCAGCTCATGGCCTGTGAGGGGTTAACTTGCAGACAACAGCCTCCTGCTTAGTGTCCACTCCTTCTGTGGCCAGGGTCTCCTCCAGGCTTCCCCTCCGTCCTCCGGCTTCCACTTCTTGCACTGAGTGTGGGTGGAAAGGGCGATGGGAGAGCCCAGAGAGACTGTGCAGCCTGTGTAACAGGGGGATGGAGACTGGGCAAGGCCATATGGCATGCAGCCCCCAGCCACTCAGAACTTGGATAGCCCTGCTTTAGAAAATTAAATTTGGTTCTACAATAATATGATGCAATTGTATATACAGTACTATGGTGCAGAGATATGGCAGGGAGAGAAAAGAGGCATAGAGAAAGGAGAAAGCATACATCTGGAAGAAAAGAATGGTGGGTAGAGGTGAGCATGCAAGAAGTAGAAGGGGTGCGCTAGCTGTATGGTGAGTGTAGGTGTGAAACAAATGGCTTTATTCTGATTTGGTACTGCTGAGGTGATATTGCCATGGTGGTTTATTCTGATTTAACTTGCAAGGCTGTAGGATGGGGCGGGCAATTATTTTGGGCAGAGGGCTGCTTACCGAGTTTTGGCAAGCAATCAAAGGCCTCGTGACAGGCAGCCAGAGGCAGATAAATACTAATTTTATAAATTTTTTAGGGGCCCCGCAGGCTGGATAGAATGGCCTGGTGGGCCACATCTGGCCCGCAGGCTGCATTTTGCCCACCCCTGCTGTAGGAAAATGTTTAGGACTTAGTTACACATTACACTTAGTATGTAGTATTTAGATCAAAGTATTTAGATCAAAAAAAGGATTAATACGACTTAAAAAGTTTTCTGTGAAGTCACAAGTTAATGTTTACTGGGATCTAAATATAGATCACAGTACCACATCAGAGTCTTGAACTGGCTCTGAGATGATCCCAGGGCTGAGACCAAAAAATCAGCTGATTTTCTCATTTCAGCCCTAGGATCACACCAGAACCACGAACTGGCTTTGGTGCAGTGTGAGAGCTGGGACTGGCACTGGCAGCATATGGGAGCTATGACCCAGCGAGACTCTGGTGTTGTGGCGGAGGCCTAACAAACAGCTGTTTGTCAAAGTCTCAACCCCACAATGCACCATAGCTTTGCTACTGCAAGGCTCCCATGCAGTAAGGAGGCAGGGAGCCCAACAAACAGCTTTGTCAGGCTCCCCACACCATACTGTGTTGGAGCTGCTGGACATTAGCTCAACAGGGAGGGGTTAGGTAATCTAGTCTGGAGATGCTCCTCACCAGAAAAAGCCCAACTTTTTATGCTATGAAGGCACTTAGCATGTGCTTTACTGCTTGGACACTCAAGCTCCATCCCAATGAGTATGGATATGTGGTATGTGGCACTGCAGACCTGTCTTTGGTGCCACACCCTGCACACGCCAGCATTTCCCATGTGCTACCTTGCAGCGCAGGGGTTTTTTTGACCCCAGGAGATCAGTGCCTTAAAGCAGGGTGGTGCATAGGGTGGCAGTATGTGCTGTCCAAAACAGGGGCCTGGCCTGTCAGATCCATGCTCCAGCTGCCAGCCAGGCTCCTAGCTACACAAGTACCGTGGCTGCAGCTCCCCAGTGTCCCCAGGTGAGGCTGCTAGGGCCAGCACAGTTGTTGACTCCAGCCTCCCCTATCCCACCTGGGGTAACCTGCTCTGTGCCAGAGCGTGCGTGGCATGGGCATTCCCTGGGAACAAGTAGCAGCAGCACAAGGCATGCCATTGCTGCTTGTCCCCAGGGAAACAAATGGCTGCGCTCACCTGGACATGGCCTCAGACTCTAGCATTAAATGCAGGTAGCATGTGCTAAGTGCAACATATAATAAAGCCCAGAGAGAAGCAGAGAAATTAATATTTGAAGGTTCGAAAGGGATTGGTATATACTCTCTAAAGAATTCAAAGAGGTCTCGATCTGAAACTGATCCAAATCAATGGAAAGGTTGTCTCTGTTTTGCTCTGAAACAGCTCTTGGTTGGCAAACTAGTGAACTACAGTGGCATGAGCATTAGTTTGGGGTTGCATTTCACACCAGTTACCAGGCCAAATTTGAAGTAATTGATCTCTGCACTGTAGTTACTGTGGTCATTTAAAAAAAATCTGATAAACCAAAGAACAACGATGATTGTTCTGACCTGAAAAATAAAACTTCGCTTGAGTTTATGGGGAAGTTGATAGCAGTTCCTGAACTAATATAAAAACAAATGTGGCTTTGGTGCCTAATTCTGACAAATGATAACAATGTTAAAACATAATATAAGCAAATGAATTTATTATCTGCCCCCATTGGGACTGTGATTGTGTTACATGCAAATTCAGATTGATTTGCTAATATATATTTAGCTGTTAAACCCTGAGCCCAAATGTGATTAGCAGTATAGTATTCCAGCATGGCACGTGGACAATTATGAGGAATAACAAATAATGGAATGTGAAATAAATTCTGTTATCCATAACCGAGTTAAGGATTTCCAGCAGACATCAGTGTTATATATTCAAGGCAGAGGAATACTAACTCATAGGCAATTTAATTGTAACTGAGTTAGAGCTGGAGGAAATGTGGTTACTGCTGACCTTTCCTGAAATGTGTCAAAGCCATCCTGATAACTTCAACTCTGACTTATTAAATTTACTCCCTGTTCAGAGCCTCTGCCTGGTTTGATACATTATCATGCAAAATTGAATGACAGTAATAGAGTCCCCCCTCCTACAGTTCTGGCAAACCTCTCTCATAGTAATAGATCCCATTATAGCAAGATATTTATGATAGAAATGTTCCTCTTCAGCGGATTTGGAATTAAACCTCTCATTCGATTTGAGAAGCTTTTCTGTACTACTTTTGGCCAACATGAGATTAGCCTCTTGAGAAAATCAGAAGACAAAACTAAATTCAGAAGGCTTTTCCACTGCCCATTTAGACTGTTATTTGCATTTAATAAATTGCATAATATTGAAAAATTATGCAAGTATTAGAGGCAAATATGCTGGTGTTTGTTCTCCCTTACTGATTTTTACAATGGCCCATTCACTTTGCTAGATTTACCCTGTATAAGTGAGATAAGAACCAGATTTAAAGTACTGAAACAGTCCAAAGGTTGGGATAGATTTCCATGTACACTTAATATTGATACATATAGCTGAGTACCACTCAAAAGCCCATCAGTTATGGAAAATATTCCTAATGACTTCACTGGACTTTGGATCAGACCTGTATTTTTTTTCTTCCAGTGCACTGTTATAAATGTTAATTAGGCTTGTCCCTGTTGGACAACAAACCATTATAACTGATTTACTTCTGAGGGAGCCTTTTGTATGTAGTATTCTCTGGGCCGTGTTGTCCAGTGTGGTCCAATACTGCTCCTCTTGTGCATGTGGTCCAGTATGGCCTCTCACATGCACATGGCTTGGTTTCAGATTTATGCATGGTAGTACTCTGCCTATGGCTCTAGTTCCTGGAGTTAACTGATAATTCTGTGTAATCACCTTTCATTTTTTAGGCAAAAGTAAGTTTCTAGGCCTCCTGCTTGCAGAAAAATTCTTATACAGATGAATAGATTGTAACCAGCATATGACCTGTGCCTGGGTCTGCAGACTGCCTGAAGTAATAGTTCTGAGAGATGCAAAGTGCCTCATACACCCCTTCCTGATGATAACCCCAAATCCACTTTCTCTGAGTGATTGGTCCAAATGGAGTGTCTGTGGCAGGAAAAAGGTGGGCATTTAGATTAACCCTCCTTCCTCACGAAGAAGATATACTCTGGCTGCTGGTTCAAAAGCTGGTGAGGGAGAGAAGGGTCCTGGGACAGAAAAGGGGCTCTCTTTACCATCGCTTGCCACCTGTGTAAGAGGGGAGACTCCTTGTAGCTGCATAGGGCTAGGGGCACAATGTCTTTTAAAGAAGAACACAGGTGAAACTGGATGGACAGGACTTATGGTCAATTTGAAAGGTTGCCTAGGGTTTCCTGAGAGCAGCAGGAAGCCTCCCTTTTCCTGGCAATTGTTTATCCCCACTTTAGAGCCTGGTCTCCATCACAATAGAGATGTACCATGCCTAGGCCTGGAACTTTGCTTTCCTGGTTTGATCCCTGTTAGCATCCTCTGAGAGTTGCCATAGGGTGAAAACAGACTGTTGTCTGATTTCTTGCTTGTGCCACCTTAAACATTTTTAAAGCAACACAAATGTAGAGCAAATAGATGTCCCTACCCTTTATTGACTCACATGACAGAAAAATCAGTGTTAGAAAACCCTGCTTTCTCCACTGCCCCAGACCTGCACTTTGGATCTGGGGCAGAGGGAAAAGTGCTTCATTGCTCAGCCAGCCCCACAGTGCTGGCTGGACAGGGGGAAACCCTGTTTTCCCCGCTGCCTCAGACTTGTGCCATGGGTTTGGGGCAACAGGAAAAAGTGTTATTCTTCTCAGCTAACCTTGTGGCACTGGCTGAGCACAGGAACACCTAGCATTCCCCTCTGCTAGGCAGGGGAACAGCCACCATTCCCTGCTGCTCCTGATCTGTAGGTCTGGGGAAGCAGGGAATGCTGGATGCTCCCCTGTCCAGCTAGCCCTGCAGGGCTGGCTGACTGGGAAACCACTTTTCCCTGCTGCCCCAGACCCCTGGGAGAGCAGGGAGATCACATCACCCTTTGTCCTGCACCACCAAGTGACACATTGCGGCACAGCTAAATCCAGCAACATCTGTTTCTTGACTATGTAGACTCTTTTTGACACCATCTCAAATTCCTTGTGGTCTGTGTAAGTTTTCAAAAGAAAGAGGAAGGTTTTTTTGCCAAAAGTGTCAGTTTCACGTGCTCCCAACTTTTTGCTCAAAGGTTAAAGTTTTAATTAAAAATATTGTTCCATAGCCCCTACTTGGTACTGTGCATAACACTGCATTATAAATCTTACTTGGCCTTCCTTCTTTTTGGTGCTGCAGTCTCTCCTGAGGATACTGGAGAACCCCAAGAGCCGTTCAGCTTTCCGAACCTGCAGTGGATTCAATGGGCTCCTGTCCCTTCTTGCAGACATGGAAGGTGCATTACAGGATCCTCCCTCTGGACTGTGGGCTACACTTGGACACAGCCACATCCTGGAGCTTATTTTCTACACACTGAAGGGAATAGCAGCTGCTCTGCACTTGGACCCTGTGAACAGCAGGTTCTTCCAGAGGAATGGTTTCTTTGAGAAGATGGCAGAGGATCTTGGATTGCTTGGTTGCTTTTGGACTCAGGAGGGGAAACAAATCTCCATGTGCCTGGAGAAGACAAGAACATTTATGGAGTTCTTGAATGCAGCCTTCTGCTCATCAGAGTCTTTCCCAACATGGCTGAAGAACTGCATACAGATTCTGAGATTCCTTGACCATATGGTCAAAGGTACCCTGCACCTGGAAAGTTGCTTTATGGATATAAAGTTAGGTGTGGAAGAGTCATCAGCAGACTCCTTGGAGGGACGGTATGTGCAACAAGAAGTTCAGAGTGGCAGCTTCAAACAGCTGGATAACAAATTAGCTGTTTCTGACTACAGGCCATGGGCAGACTCTGAAGAAAGGTAGGTCTTCATTGTTGTTCTTTAGTATAAAAAGACCAACACATACAGAAGCAGCACTACTTGGGGTTTTTTTGCAAGTTTTTCAGCTCTTTAATGGAAGATGGTGTTGCATTTTACATGCTGTGGTGAATGAAGCTTTGCAAAGCCACTGGGTAGCCAGCTGCTAGTAATATCTGCATTTTACAGGGAGGGTTGCAGTAAACTGAGGCACAGATGTGACATGTCTTGCAGTATAACACAGAGTGAGTCTATGGCAGAATGAGGAACTTACTTTCTAACTTCCACTTTATAAAAGGCAAATGATTGCAAATGTTGTTGCAGGTGTCTTTGTAGAACTCAGTAGTGGGATGGGTGTCTATGAGAGGCTTTCAGTTTGTCTTTTGAAGTCTGGAATGTAGGATGTGTGAATTTTGTAAATATCAGGCAAGTACTCTGATCAAATACCAAGGAATGGTTATAAATTATAAGAATTTAAAATTAGTTTACCATCAGCTTAAAACCACCCAAATCAGGCTTGATCCCTGCAGTAGAACAAAGTGACACCTTGAAGCAATCTAAATAAGTAATACCTCTATAATACCCTATATGAACAACTTAAATTCAGGAGAATTAAAGAGGAAGCAGACATGATTGCATGTATGGAAGTGAGAAGGACTGGGCTGTGGTCAGAGGTAAGGAACCGTCAGGACTGTTCCACAGATTTTTTAAAAATCAGGTCTGGGTTTCTTTGGTGTATCTGCTGTACTAAAGGAGGTATGATGCAATAGTTGCACCTGGATGACAGGACAATGGACAGGTCTGAGCCCCAACACACCAGAGATGGGAGGGTTTGCCCAGTGAGTCATACTCACCTGTAGTTAATTTCCTCTAAGTAAAGGTTGGATTAGAAAGACTCTCTCAGATTATTAGGTTTGAGAAATCTGAGGGGTGTGGTCAGGGGCAAATCCATCCAAGATTTGGCCCCACCACTCCCAGCCCCTCCTCCCACCCCCAACCCACTGGTGTAGGCAGACCAAGTGGGGGGAGCCTTCTGGAACTTTTTAAAAGTCTTGAAAGCTGGCAAGATTTTCCCCATTTCTCCTCTGTGCACACAGCCATGCCCCCCCAACTCCCCCTCCTGCTGCTTTCCCTGCTGTCCCAGGGCAGAGAAAGTTCAGATTGGTTTCTTCCTGCTACTGCCAGGCTGAGCAGGGGCTGGGCTCAGCTGGAAATTTGATAGGACAGTGGCAGCAGGGATGGATGGGGAGGTGTGTTACCCCACTCTTCCTGGTCCCCCCAAAGCAGGCTCAGGGAGAGAGAACACTCCCATTGCTGCTGCTGTCTCTGTCCCAGCTGATCCCACCACCCACGCAGCTTGACTGGAGTGGGCAGGAGCAGCTCTGAAGCTTCCTCCACCCCTAGGACAGCAGGGAAAGTAGCAGGAGGAGGAAAGGGGAAGGGAGGAGGGATTCTTATCTGCTGTAGGTACTTTAAACAAGTCCCCAAAAGCTTTCATGGCATGGTCCAGTCCAAAAGGGGAGTGCAGCCATGCCACTGCACCCTAATTAGATCTCCCCCTTGCTCTCTCAATCTACCCTTGCTCCCATCTATGGTACTACCTACCAGGGGAACTGTGGTCTAAGCACAGTGAGCTTTTCACCAGTGCTCTCTTTGCTAAGTTTCTGAACATGTAGACACAAAAAGGAGCCATGTTGAGCTCAGGCATCAGCAGGCAAGGTTGCTAGACCTCAAAAGCACTGAGGAATACCAAGAGGGCAGGGAAGTTTGCAGGGCCACTATTATGCTGCTAGAGTTGCCGGACTTGAAAGTGACAACCGTCCTGAGTGCTGCATTTTCTGAAAATAAAAACATCACGTAGTTCACAGAGCCAGGCTTCCTGAGAACCTGTAGCTTTCCATCTAGCACAGCTACCTCTTTGTGGCTTTTCTCCAGTCACACTTCCTCTCAAGAAAGGATGTTTCTCCCAGAGCACTCCTTGGCCATGCAGTTCTAAAGTAGAAACCAAAGTGCAACAGATGTTGGAGGCCTGTGAGGTACCCTAGCAGACACGTGAATATTTATCTTTGCCCTCTTAAAGGACTTCCTCTTCACTTGATTTTAAAGTTTTAGAGTCTGATGATTCCTGCAGTCACTTTGGTACCTAGAGGATGTAAAATGCTACTTTTTTGATGTGGTAGCAGTCTCTTGTGTGTTGCCCTGCCAGTTGCTATACATGGTGCAGGGCACCAGTTATGGGTCCTTTGTTCCCATCTGAAGTGCAGCCCTGCCTTCTTGAATGTGGTTTATGGCTCTAGTGCAAATATCTAGTGCTCTTCATGTGACAGACTGCCTCTCTTCTCCTTGTGTTTCTATGATTAGAGAAAATAGTTTGCTGCAAGCTGTGTGTTAAGTGAGGCTGATCCCTCTTTGGGAGGTAGGCTCTCCCCTGCTGTGGAAGGGCTGCTACAGCTGCTGTGGCACAGATTCACAGTGATAATAGTTCTTCAGATTTACTGGGGCATCACACATCATCCCTGTAGGCTCCTCTGTCTTATTTTTAAGTAGCAGCCCACATTGATTGGATTTGGGATCAACAGCCTGATAACACCCGAGCTCTGTGAGCAGGGAATGACCTTGAGGTCTACTTCAGAGCCCAGAAGAAGCGAGTGAAGGCCAGTGTTAGGGAGCTTGCTGGAATGTGCCAGGCAGTAAGATATGCCCTAGTGAAAGTAGGGTTGCCAACTCTGTTTGAATCTGTTCCGGGAGGCTTCCAGAATGCCAGTGTACCCATGACACACAATGTGAATGTGCCTGCATGTTTGCATATATCAGTTATGGATTACGGTGTGTATGTCAGGAAGGCAAATGCACATTACTATTACATTTTAAAAACCCACTGGATTACTGTATACATCAGATTCAACATTTAATATTTATTTTAATGAATGCCCTATCATTTATCTCCTGAGGGACTCTCAGCAATATCCTATAGATTTATTTCTAATTCCTGGAGACTCCAGGGCAACCCTAACTCCAAGGTCATGGGGACGGTGGGCCGTGGGGCCTGTTGGGGATTCTGGAAATTGGGGAGCTGTATTCCAACCTTACAGAAAAAGCTGAGGTACAGTTCCAGGAAGAACAGAGACTTTGGCTGGGGCTTTTTTTGTATCCTATCCTTCCTTATAACACCAGGCAGGCATGTGGACAGGCACTCAGAAATCATAAATAAGAATCATCTCAGAATTATGAGACTGCCTTAAACGTATCAGTTTTTTAAAAATGATATTTTAGGTCTTTTGATTTGCCTTCTCCTGTTTGAGCTTTCAACACATTTTCTCGCTTTTCTCAGCAGTAACGAGGATTACAAGCCACTTCTCTTTTTCCCCCCTCTTAAATAAAAGTTGAAATGTTCAGATAATCACAGGACTCTAGGAAATGGGGCTTTAAGAAACTAAATTTAAGAGTCAGTCTCTGTAGTTTTGGTGACATATATCATGACTTAATATTCCAGAATGAGAAGCCAGGTTCCTCCCTTATATAGCTAGTTCCCTTGATTTGAGTGAACTTACGTTGAAGGTGTAGTCATCATTGGGTTCAGTAAATACAGGCATACAATGAATGAGAACTAAAAAATAAACTTCAAGTGTGAAGTGGTAGATAACCTCTGCAGACCCTTTGTGTATCTCTAACTAACCTAACTGAGGAATGATCTCCCAGTTCCCAATTTCTCCAGTCTAAGTATGGCAGTGTCTCTAAATTATAACTTCCACTATAGAAGATGATTTGTCCAAGGAGCATAGCCAAAGAACAGAAAATACAGAATACAACTCACCTCCCATTTGTTATTCTACTGGCACATGGGGTGTCAGACCCAATGATAAGATCCAAGATTGGAACTGGAGTCTTGCATCCAGAGGACAGTCCAGAAGGAAGCCAGTGAGCCAGGGGTCAAGCGTTACTAAGGTGGGAACAGACTGTCTTAAATCAAAGGAAGCTGGCACTTGTAAGCAAGGCTGTTGAACAACTTATAGACCATTGTGTTGTGTTGCTGCTGCTCCCTCAAAAAAATTAGGAGCGACTAGCCTGCTGCACCTCAGTTGTCCATTAAGCACAAGCAAGACTGCCTGGTATGGCTCCTGATACTGTTGATTTCTGTGGGAGTTCTGCCAGAGATGTTGATAGGCCAGGATTTTACTCAGAGGTTTTTGCAGCATGCCTCCTCATCTTGTATATATAAACCATGGTGCACGGTGCTAACCGCGGCCATGGCCAATTGTTTGGGACCTGGGGTACCAGGTAGCTCTACCTCCTGTTTAGCTCACCTAGGAGTGGCCAGAGGCTTCCTGAGAGGAAAGGCTCCCTTTACAATGGAAAGACCTTGCAGATTCATAAATAACTATTTACAGACTTCTGTATATGTAAAGGGCTTAGTCCATCTTTCTGTCTGTCTACCCGTAATGCTCTTGGAGC